TCTCTTGTTTTGTTGACGAAAATTCTGTATTAAGTTCTTAGATATTATATTTGGGCATGGCAGGTGTTTTGCTCCCATTGTTTCTCTGGCACTATTATTGTGGTAAAGTTGGCGTAGCAATGGACTTGTTCAATGTTGTTGTGTGTAACCCAGTGTATCTGTAATGAATTACTTGTCATTGTTACACATTTGGAATTAGCTTCCATTAGTGTTTTAGTTTGGCTACCTATATTTAATCTTATGTTTTGGGAGAAATTCTACTTCTCTTCATTTTTGGTTTCTCTGTCTATCTGTCTTGGTGATGTTCCTCTGCATTTGTTTTTACAAGATGGGTTTTGGATGTACGTTCTCAGTTTATCTGAGTACCATCTTCTTTTCTATGACTGTGTGTTATGGTATAGTACTGTGAATCTGTGTTACTGCCACACTGGTTCCCAATAGTCTATTTCTGGTATGCTTCCTTGAATCATATAAGGTTATTGGTACTAGCCACTAGATGAGGCACTATAAGTGCATTCGAGAGTGCCTGATTCCTTGGTGTGTCTTATTACTTGACTATTTGGTTTATTAGTTCCATCCTTAACGCAATCAAGCTTTATCCCACTGGTGTATATTTCACATGAACAAAGCCAAGCAAGTTGTAGAAACATGGGATAAGCAGTTTCATTGTTCTGCACGTGAGCAGAGGTTGGCCTATCTATATCTAGCAAATGACATTTTGCAGAACAGTAGGCGAAAAGGTTCAGAGTTTGTTGGTGAATTTTGGAAAGTCCTTCCAGATGCACTTCGTGATGTAATTGAGCACGGTGATGATTTTGGTAGAAATGCTGCCCTAAGACTGGTACAGTAATCCTTTGTAAATTTTTTTTTACTCATGCATAATTTTTCTCGAACCTCTATCTTGTATGTTTCCTCCCTCCGTGTGTAGAAAGATGCGTGCTCATCTAATGTTAACACCGTTTCTTAGATCCTTAAACTCAAAATTTAAGGGCTTTCCATTCTTATTTTCTGCCTCTAGACAAAGCCCTGCTAAATTCTTGTGGTGCAAAAATCTTTTGTATAATGGCATTTCTAAGGGAAAATGAATGTTATTTTCTGCATTAAAAAAGAATAGATGTTTTGTCTTCATGAAGTTAATGCATTCCATAAAACCTCTATGAGTTGGAAACATACCCTGGATAAACATCTTACAAGTTTTCTCGATGCGAATTCTGTTGTGGGGTCAAGGTGGGTTGATTGCCACATAATGTATCTCTATGCTAAGCTCAATATCATATGTGCTTACAGAAGTCGAGACTTAGAAAGTGTTATAACATAAGGAAGTACAATGGATTGTTTAAGAACAAGAAAATATTAGTGCAAATAGTCAATCAGAGAATAAGTTAGCTGTAAACGAAGATCAATTCTTCATAATTTTCCATGTCATTGTTGATATGTTGAAGTGGAAGAGAATTTTGATTGTTTTTGGCTCGACTCTGTTATCATATTTGTTTTATTTATACCCATTTTAATTTTACTCACAGATTGGCATTTGGGAAGAGAGAAAAGTTTTTGGATCTCGAGGACAGAGTCTTAAAGAAGAGATAATGGGAAAGAGTTCGGAAACTGGTAACCGAAATGGGAAGCATTTCAGCAGTAAACTGGTAAAATATTGCTAATTCATCGTGTTCGAATAATGTTCATTTATAGTCTGGCCATTTAATCACCTATTCTCATTATTGTTTTCAACAGAAACAATCTGGCAGCATATCATTGGATAAAATAGTTTCTGGCTACCAAGTTGTTTATAGAAGTGAGGTTGATGAAGATGCAGTATTGAGCAAATGCAGGAATTCTATTAGCTATCTTGAGAAACTGGACAAAGAAATTGGCGCTGATGTCAATTCAGGTACTTGTAGCTTCTACATCTCCTATCCAGTGTGTCCATGTCCTACATTTATGGAAATGGTCGTGTTGCCATGCCTGTTGTCTGTGCTTCTCAGCTTGTTTTGTTTCACCTAAACTTTAAGATTGCTTGCGTTTTGTTGTTCTTTTTCTTTAACTACACAGGGCAATACCGTGGATCATCAGCTGCAGAGGATCTGCGGGGACATCATAACATTTTGAGGGATTGCATCGAACAATTAACAACAATTGAAACTTCAAGGGCAAGTCTTGTGTCTCATCTGAGAGAGGCTCTTCAAGAACAGGTATTTTGGCCTCCCTCTGGAAAAAAGTTAATGACATGGTTAGTAGAAGAAAATCTTATTATTTAAATAAATTTTTTATTTTCAGGAATTCAAATTGGAGCAAGTTCGAAATCAACTTCAGGTTTGCATTTCTGTTTCGCAGTGTCTTGGATTATGGGGTCATTGATTCTTCTGTATTTTTCTAATTACCTGCTCGAGATTGACCTTGTATGAAAAAAACTCCTTTTGTTTTGTGGGTTTCGTTCCATTTTTCGCATGAAAGTAACCTTTCTAGTCTCAAGTTTAGCCATTCTTTTCCATGTTATAGTTCATACCTAACCAAACCTTGATAATGCTAGGGAGTTTCATCCCTCCCATGGCATAAAATTTTCGTTTTTGTGTCGTTTGAACCATATTGAATTTGTGAGTTGATATAAAGCAAGTTGATGTCCTGTGTATCTACCTTCCCGAGATTGCCTGGATTTATTAATAAAACCTCCATTTTATTTCCTTCGAGTTGATGGGGACTATGTTGATTAATTCATTCCCTGTTTAGTGGATCAGGGAACAGCCGTTTAAGTTTTACAGAAAGCTTAATGCATAGTTTGAAGAAGAAACATGAAAAAGAAAAGCCAAGGTCCTCCCCTCTTTGAAAAAACAGTGCATCAAGTTTTTTAATATTATCCTTCCAAGGGCTGGTTTCTATACTTTTGGCCTAGTGGAAATCCTTTTGTAATTCCATTTTGAGCTCTGGGATACTCTCCATCCCTTCTTTGTATGCTCATATTATCAATGAAATAATACTGCATCAAGGTTTAAGCTGCAAAATGGGAAAAGAAGATTTGAGAAAAATGCATGGGTCAACTTCTTAGGGGGGCGTTAAACGAAGCCCTCGAGTATCCTTTCTATTCTAGCATGGCTTTCCATTTTTCTTATTTGGTTGGTTGGTTGGTCACCATCCTTGTACCGCTTCGTGATCGCTTCTTACATGTATGGTCTTTTGACAGGTTTCTCATTCCCAGTCGGAACAAACTCAGAATCTGTGCAGGCAGTTTTTAAATGGTGAAAATGTGGAAGCTATGACTAAGGAGGAGGCCTCAAAAGATGCTCAGACCTCGATAGCACCACACACCCTTGTACCAAGGGAGAGAGATCAATCAGCGCCCGTAATGTATGCACCCTCATTACCTTTTCCTGCAAAACCTGGACCTATTGAGGAAGATCCCCGCAAGTCTGCTGCTGCTGCAGTGGCAGCTAAGCTAACTGCATCGACATCCTCGGTTCAGATGCTCTCTTACGTCCTATCTTCTCTGGCATCCGAGGGTGTAATTGGAAATCCAAATAAAGAGTTATCTGGTGATTATGCATCTGAGAAGAGGCTGAAACTTGAAAATGACCAACCGCCTTACACATTGCCTCCCAATCCTCAGCGACCACCTGGCCTTCCCTTCCCACACCCGGAGTCTCTCCAGCATAACGCCTCGTCCACCAGTCAACAATACACTCCTTCTGACCTGCCACCTCCTCCGTTGTCATCTCCACCGCCAGTGCCTCCATTACCTCCTGTTGGGCAGCTCCCTTTGCCCCAGTTCACACAGAGTGCTGCTGGGTCAGTAAGTAGCATACCTTACAGTTACGGTATGACACAATCACTGGCACCATTAGCGAGGCCTGGGTACCCGAATTTAGGTGCCCCAGTGACCGGGATGTCTCCTTGTACAATACCAACAAATTCTTACCAGAGCTTCCAGGCTTCAGATGGTAATTTCTATAATCCGTCTTCATCCATGCCGATGGCACCCATTTCTAGGCAATAGAGCTTTTAGATGTAATAGTAGAAATACTTGATCCGTTGTGCTAACAAATCTTTCAGGAAGTGGTGCATCCCAGTAAGGCCCTACCAGGAAACCTTGCATCACTTAACTAAATGGATTTTGCACATACTAATAGTTTGTAATTTATCTTCACTTTTCAATGTATTGCTTGTAGTGTTGGACTTTATTTTGCGTAATTGAATGTAGCATGATAGTTATGTTGACTTCATACATTTGTGCACATAGCAAGCCTTTGTAATTTAACTTCATTTATTAATGTAATGCTTGGAGGCTGGAACACAACTTCATCTGCTTGAATCAAGTCTCTGATTGTTTATCTTGCTTTCTGTTTCGATTTGTTTACCTAACAACTAGGCTGTCGCTTACATTGTTTGATATGATCATAGATAGGCTTTTGACACGAGTTCATCGATAAGTTTGGTGCTATCTTGGGTGTCCGCCCACTTCGGTTGAGGCTTGAGCTACGAGCATCTTGAATCAATGATCCAGTCATCCTTGTAGGCGATATTCTCTTCTATCATGCTATGACTGCTTGCTTATCTTCTTCTAATTCCATTCTTCCTCCATCACCTAGCATGTCACCGGATAGAAAAAAAATCTTTAAAAGTCAGACTAAATTGGTATTTTTTATTTTTTATAAAAAAAAAAAATAAAAAAAAACTCAATTACAAAAGTAGCGTAAAAATTTATGCGGCTTGTGAGGCTATTTTAGTGAACAAAATAAAATTTTGGTTGACGTTGATAAATAGAATAAATAAATAAATGGGCTTTAAAATATATCTTTGGTTAATTCATTTTCAAGTGCTTTCAGTCTCGTTACCTCTTTTTTAAATTCTTTCTCACTCCAATTCTCTTGAACCGCAATTTACAATTCTCCAATATTCCATATTCATTTCCACACTATCGCTGGTTTTGCGTCCGTGTTCGTATTGAAACTCAAGATCAACGATCCTGACCATCCTTTTCGGTGAGGAGGAGAAGCACAAGAGAGCGGGCCATGGAGGAGGAGAAGCACGACGAGTTGGATCCGAACCAGAAGAGCAAGAGAGAGAAAGAAGATCAAGGATTAATAATGGCGGAGGAATCTATGTCGGTGGAGTGGATTTTTCAAGCGCAAGAGGTGCCGTCGTGGCAGAAGCATCAGACGGCGAGAGCGTTTGTGGTGAGCTTTGGAATGAGCGTGTTGTTCACTTAAATCGTGATGAAGCTCTACTTGACCACCGGTATTACTCCTTCGCTCAATATCTCCGCCGATCTTCTCGGTTTCTTCTTCGTGAAGACATGGACCAGACTTCTGGAGAAATCTGGTTTACTGAAGCAGCCTTTCACTCGCCAGGAGAACACCGTGATTGGCGTCGCCTTCAGCGGTACGCACCTCTTTGATTTTACTTGCAATTTTCTTTTTCCCACTTGGTTAGGGCTTCGATTGGGAAGCTTGAACACAACTGCTCTGCGACTACGAATTTTCATGCCTCAAAACCTAAACATCCTAATTAATTAATCAATTTTCTTTACGTTGATGATTTGCATCAATTTCAAACATCTTTTCAGAAAAATGTAGAAGAAAATGAAAAACTATCAAAATCTTATTTCAAAACATTGTTATGTTAACTAAAAAACGGACTACAATGGTTGAATTCTCTCCCAATAGTTAAACTATTTTCAAATTAAAACAAAATGAATATAAAATCGGACGGTTCAAAATAGAGTTTAAACTAAAAGGTCTGGCGGGGATTGTATGAGTAAGGGTACAGCCTTTGTTTTCCCTTTAAATTATCTTTATATGTAAAATTTGTCTAAAATAAGTAGACAAAATTCCAGTTTCTTTTTTCAGAATAAAAAAAATTACAACCTTGTGGGCCGGGCCTTAAGTGGGAAAAGCCCAAGTCAAGGCTTACTAGGCCCAAGACTAAGTTGTAAATCCAGGCCCAAACCCCTACCGGGAACAGCTTCATCTCCTACACCTCCGACCGCCCCAGTAATAACTCCAGCCTGCCGCCAAACATCTTGCGACAGCGGCGGCCGTGACATAGCGTGAAGCCCCGCCGCCTGCAGTGGAGTACTCGGTGGCTGCGGCACAAAGGACGACGAGAGCCAGTTCCGTACGTGCAGAGGCGTGAAGTAATTAAGATGACAAGATTTTATTTGAGCCCTCTTCAAAAGCCGCCTTTCTTCTCTGTGGGCGTTTTGATGGCCACCCAAAGCTTGCGAATTGGAAAATCCTCTGCAACAATATTGGCACTCGAACTTCGGGGCATGGGGATATCGAGATTCCGGCAACTCCGCCGGCGGCGGCTCTGTAAAGTTGGAAACTGAGTTGTGGTGTTCTGAGATGTTGAAACCAAAGAGCTTGAGCTGAGAGTTCGCCATGTTAGAGAGAGAGAGAGAGAGAGAGAGAGGAGAGATGGATAGATAGAATGGTTGGATTAGAAGTTTAGACGAAAGAGAATTAGTAGAGGAGAAAAAACTTGAGAAGACCCAAATTTTCAACTTAACTTGCAAATGAAGAGATGCATGTTTGCTTGCCAAAATGGACAGTTTTTAGGAAATTTGTTTGATATATTTTAATCTCAAGTCGACTTTAGTCGTACAAGTATTGGTTTAAAACAAAGAATAGTTTCAAATTCTTGACCTACAAAAATTTGTAAGTTTTTGGAGAAAATGACACTTCTAAATTATGCACTAATTGTCCACTAAACATTATATTTTTAAACAACAAAATATGTTTGTCTAAACACCACCAATCTGGAAGAGGTCAATTTTTTTCCCTATTCTTTTCGGATTAGGATTAGGATCAAGAAAAAAAAGACAGAAGCAAGTTCTTTTTCACTTCGGACCCACCAGGTATATTCGTCTTTTCACTTGCCAAGAACAATTCAATGCTAACAAAAACCACCCACTTTGGAAGGGGGTTTTTCTTTGAAGTCGAAATATTTGGAGGTTATTTTTTAAAATTACCCTTCATTCCATATGCAACGTTTACTATACTTTTTTTTTTTTTTTTTTGGAATTAGAGGCAAGTCACTCGAGCCAATAAATTTATTTTGTCGGAAAAATAAACATTAAAATTCTTGTATCTTAAACTTTTTTGAGGTTATAAAATCAGAATTAAAAAAATTAGGTATAATTTAGTCTAAACTAACCATTACAATATGTCAAACAAGGTTTGTTTTTGGTTGATTGAGGTTGTGGGTTTTGATTAGTTTAATACATAAAATCTACCACAAATCCTAACAACTCCATTTGATTTCATCATACTTTATATTTTTCGTTGGTCTTTGGTACCAAAATAACACATATTTTATCATCTAGAATATGATGTAAAACGCGTCGATGATCTCGAGAAGTTTTTACACTGTTTAATAACTGACTTTGATACCATTTATAACCGTTTAAGCCTACCGCTAGTAAATATTGTTCAGCTTGGTCTGATACGTATTATCATTAGTCCCCTTAAAATTTTAAAACGCATTTATTAGAAGAAATGTTTCTTTTCACTCTCCCCTTCAAATTTGTTGAAATATAATTTTTTTTAATTAAGCTTATAATTTATTTATTTGTATTTTTTTATATCCTTAAAAAAAAAAAAAAAATCTCAAGATCTACGTGGCGGTGGCGCCATCTGACCGGATGACCCGCTATCTTCCTCCGTATAAAAGAGACCACAGCTACAGTCCTCGACTGATTTACTCAATCCGATTCTGTAATGGAAAAGCGCCATTGATACACCACACGAAACTATGCTTGCCACGACTTGCTTCTCTCCAGCTCTGCCTAGGATTCTCTTTCCCCCATCCTTTCTATCAGACTCCACTCCCTTACACCTCTCCTCCCACAAGCCTCGCGCCCCAATTCCCGCCACTTCTACAGGATCACAATCATCTCTTCTGTCGGAGCCCTCTTCCGACTCCAATGCCGCCATTAACCACCGTACAGCGCCATGGACGGAGTCTCCTCTCTATCTTCAACCCCTAGAAGAAGAAGGCGTGGATCTCGCAAAGCCCGAAAGAAGTAATGGGTCGGACGGTCATGGGGGCAAAAAACGCTATAGGGCGTTAGCCGACAGAAGAAATGTTAAAACTGGGAAATACGCAATGCGACGAATTGCTAAAAGCATTGAAAAACTACAGAAAAATGGCGATTCGGGAGAAACCGGAATGAAATTGGAGGAGGTTGAATTTGGAGATTTTTATTTGGAGGGTTTTGATGAGTCTAGAACTCGCGGGAGAATGCCATGGGAGAAGGACGATGGGATTGTTTTGAGGAGACCTAAGAAGAAAACAGTGACTTCAGCCGAGTTGAGTCTTGATAAAGTGTTGCTTGAAAGGTTGAGGGGTGAGGCTTCAAAAATGGAGAACTGGGTGAAGGTCAATAAAATTGGGGTTACTCAAGACGTTGTGAATAAGATACACTTCACATGGGAGACAAATGAGCTTGCCATGCTGAAATTTGATGTCCCCTTGAGCCGCAATATGGATAGAGCACGGGAAATTGTTGAGGTGAGGTTGGTTTTGCTTAATTTTCTCTTTTGTTTCGAGTATTTTGTTATTTGAAGTAGGAATGCCTTTGCAATTTACCTGTGAGAAGTGTTTCCTTAAGAAAGACTTTGTTAGGAAAATCACCACTTTATGTTGCCATCCATTTTTGGACTTTCAGTTTATAATCATACATATTATGCTTAGAATGTGTTTATATGGTTACGGTTCCTCTTGTACAGATGAAAACTGGTGGTATGGTTGTCTGGAGTAAGAAAAACGCCCTTGTTGTTTACAGGGGCTGCAATTATCCATTGGGTTTGAAACTTAGGACAAAAATGCAAGTAGATAGCCCTTACTGTTCCAGAACACCGTTCCTGGAAACAGACACTGATTTTTCACTCGGCGAACATGATGAAGGTGGTTCGAATCGAAGTATAAACAACAATGATGGTGAATGGGGAGAAGCTTCTACTTCTTTCTTGAGTGGATCACTCTACGAGAGGGAAACTGACAGACTATTAGATGATTTGGGGCCTCGCTTCATTGACTGGTGGATGCACAAACCTCTGCCGGTTGATGCTGACATGCTTCCAGAGGTGGTTCCTGGATATATGCCTCCCTATAGGCGCTGTCCACCCTTTACTAACCCAAAGCTTACAGATGCTGAACTACTATATCTGAGGAAGCTTGCACATCCCTTACCTACTCATTTTGTTCTTGGTATAATTTTTTGTTTTTTCTTCTTTGAATACAAATTTCTTGCGCTCTTCAGTTGCAATATTAACTGAGATAGGATGAAGGTAAAAATCAGGGTCGAGGGTTTTGAATAGTTGTCTTTTTTCTGCTTCAAATTTTATGGGAAGTCGCAGAAAAACCGAAACAATTTAAGCAAAGGTCGTGAGCAACACAATGGCATGTCCACCTTAATCTGTTTTTTTTTCCTTTCCTGAATTGGTTGGTCCAGCACAACACAACTTCATAACAGTGAAGAAACGGTTCGACATGATTTTTGAAGAATGGTTAATGATCATTAGCGCTGAGCCAAATCTTTAGGGTATAGAGTTTCAACTTCACCCCCAATCGACATGCATTTTCATTAGTGGATAAATAATGCTTTATGCTCTGTTTATGATGTTGTGTGCATGTTCATAGCTACATACAGGCCCTGCTATATCATGGCTGGATTGAATATTCTCTACCTAGTTCATTGGGTATTTATCTGTTCACTAATTTTGTATTTTCCAAATATTTGAAGGCAGAAACAGAAAACTTCAAGGGTTGGCTGCTGCCATTTTAAAGTTGTGGGAGAAAAGTCTGATAGCTAAGATTGCTTTGAAGTGGGGGGTTCCAAATACAAACAATGAGCAGATGGCGTACGAACTTAAGGCAAGTTTTCTAGAAATAGTATTTGTTCTAAAAGTGTATAAAGTATGAGACTTCGAGCCTGAAATAATTGAAAGTTTTCTAGTATATGTTAAAGACATAGTCCTTCAATGAACGTCGATTTCAGAAAAATCGTTGTCTGTTTCTTTTATCTGTCAAATATCTTCAAATTGCTTGAAAGTTTCCAGTAAGATTTTATAGTTTCTCTCTCTTTTGATATGTATCTAAAGTGTGGATGTTTGGACCAAATTTCTGTACGGACTGGAGACATCTGGTTGTTTCCCTAGATTATGCTTATGATGTTTAGTGTCCCCTGCTATGATTAAGTGTTTTTTGCATGCACGAGTCGATGTGATTGCATTTAATAACCATTACTGGTTTAGAGTCTCACTGGAGGAACATTGCTGCTGCGCAACAAGTTTTTCATTATCCTTTACCGAGGCAAGGATTTCCTACCTGTTGGACTTGCCAGTTCAATAATTCAAAGAGAAACGGAGCTCCAAAGATGGCAACTTCATGAGGAAAATTCACGGCTGAAAGCCAGGGAACTTTTTTGTTTTGACACTGGGAACTTGGAAGAGAGAGCCAAGGCTGGAACTTTATCAGATTTTAAGGATATCACTATGGAGTATGAAGATTTGACAACTGGAAGTACAGAATCAAAACTTCAAGCAGATGCTGAAAAGGGAAAAATAATTAGGGAGCTGAAGAAGCAAGAGCGAAGGCTTAGCATTGTATGGTTAACTTTTGACGTGCTATTATCTGATTTGATCATCCTTGTTAAGCTGTTATCATGTCCTCCTGATGTTTTTCTCTTATGGGGATTTTGCAGCTTGACTTTAAGGTAGAGAAGTCAACAAAGGAGTTGACAAAGTTGAATGCATCATGCAGACATGTCGAGCCTGATGCAGACCAGGAACTGATTACAAATGAGGAGAGGATATGTTTTAGGAAGATGGGATTGAAGATGCATAGCTGCTTAACACTCGGTTCCTCACCGCCTTTGGAATTTTATTGAAAACATACAAATTTGATCGAATTTACATTGACGAAAACAAACATAAGATTCCCTTCTGTTTTTTGGTGAATTTAGGTAGGCGTGGTATCTTTGATGGTGTTATTGAAGGTTTGCATCAACACTGGAAACACAGAGAGGTGGTAAAGGTGATTAGCATGCAGAGAGCTTTTAATCAGGTTCTTTCTACTGCGAAATCGCTTGAAGCAGAAAGTGGTGGGATTTTAATATCCGTGGACAAACTAAAAGAAGGTTATGCCATAATTATTTTCCGTGGTAAGAACTATAAACGACCTCTACGTTCGGTGTCCAAGAATCTCTTGACTAAAGGAAAAGCATTACGTAGATCCTTGGAGATTCAGAGAATTGGAGTATGTGAAGCCTTCTCTTTTGCACTTTTCTTCCCTGTTCTGTTAATTTAAATGTGAGATTCCTCGACGGTTGGAAAGGGAAACAAAGCATTCTTTATAAGGGTGTGGAAACCTCTCCTTAGTAGATGCATTTTAAAACCAAGGGAAAGTCCAAAGAGGACGATATCTGCTAACGTGCGCTTGTGCATACTCCAATTTTGTGTCAATATGGCGGCTTTGATTCTGCTAATTTTCCTGTTTTCTCTGCAGTCCCTGAAATTCTTTGCTAATCAGAAACGGAAAAAAGTTTCTGAATTACAACTCGAACTGGTGAGCAGCGAGTGTTCGTTATATTGGAAATGCCTTAAAAGATTAAAATTTCTAATGTTCTGAAGTTCTAATAAAGTTTTGTTTTGCAGGAGAAAGTGCATGATAGTGGGGAGTAAATTAAGCAGACTTTAATGCACACCTCTCTTCTACGTTGAAATGGGTCTGGTAAAGTGATCTAAATGACTATCCGCGTGTGTCTCCACAAGCTACTAATGTTTTTTTACATCTTTTTATTTTTATTGGTTCGTTAGGTCTATGAAGAACACATCAGATCTCCATGTGGATAAAGTTTGATAGGCAGAGACCCCACATTCAGTAATGGATGCTTCAAAGCTGTGAAGACAACAACGCAGCTAAGATGGAGAGGAATAAATCCTTTACAAGTTGTAGAGCATAAGGGGATCTGTCTACTTCGGTTCTGGAATGGATACTGTAAGTGAAAAGATAAAGACACAAATGATTCTTTTATTTCTATAGAATATGGACATAAATCAGTGACCTCTAAATCAGCCAAGATGGAGAGTCTGCAAAACATTGAAAGCACATGCTTTCATGTTCTGGCAGGCTTTAGTGGCAACTTTTGATGAAGTTACATATCAGATTATTTGTGTGAGATCCTATATCACTTGAGACGGGGAGACGGAAACGAAACATTCCTTACAAGGATGTGAAAATTTCTCCCTAGTAGACATGTAATGGGGAAGCCTAGAAGAGAAAACGCAAAAATCTTGAGGGAAAACTTTGAAAAGAAAGCCCAAAGAGGATAATATCTTGATGAGTACTAATTATGTTGTGTAACTCTGAAATGCGTTTTAAAACCATGAGACTGACGACAATACGTAACAGCCATGTCTCTATTAAAAACTAAATCAAATAGGATTATAGCCTTAATAATAATTAATATGATCTCGTGCTCCACATTCTTCCACATCATGATTTGCATTTCCTAAAATCGTGCTACTATAAAGTACATATACATAATGACCCATGTGACTTCTTTTTTATTTATTTTATTTTTATTTTAATTATACAATTAGTTTTATATCAACGCACCTCTCCTCCAGATTCAAACGACCAACACATATATTAAAGTCGAAAACTAAATACCAACAATAATAATTACACACATTTTTTTACCTCACTCCCAAAGTAAGCTTTTCCATTAATTCATCATTACCATCTTTAATTAATGTTTAACGCTAAACGTTTTCTTTTGTTTTATAATCGTTGAAACGTGCTTTTTCCGTTAACGGATTGGTGAGTTATCAACGTCGCGAGGCCATTACGTCCTTACGCAACTACGGCGCACGTTATCAAAATACGGCGCCAATAGTTAATTACCTTTTTAACTTTTAATTCTAATTCACCGCTATCGTATTCGTATAGTAATTTATGTGTAATTTCCTTTTTCTTTAATTTATTTGCATTGATTTCTTCGTTCTCCTCCCCACTGCTAGACCACTCGTCCGAATTTATTGGGAAAAAAAAGAATGTTATGAAAATCAAAAAAGAAAAAAGAATTTAAGGCAAAAGTTATGGAGTTTCTTCGTACAGAATTTACCAGAGAGGAGCATCCTCTATTCGGGAATGGTGACGAGCACCGGCCGCCAAGCTCGTCGGAGAAATCTGTAACGAAATGTCGCCGATATCGGCCTTAGAGAGCGGCGCGTGATGGAGGGCGTACCGATTCCAGCGGCGCTGGTGTTGGCCGTCGTTAACAATGCTTCCTGTTCTTCGATTCTCCTGTCGGAAACCTTATCCTCGAGTGGCGGCGACGAGACGAACAAATCCTTGAGTTTCCGCCTGGCTCGGACCTCCTTATCGTTTTTCTCCGGAATCATATTGTCGTCGTCGTCATCGTCGTCGTCGACATCTTGAGGATCGGCGGAGTTATCTTGGTAGGGAAATCGGCGGCGATCGGTGCGATTGAGGAGCATTCTTAGGGTTTTGCGTCGGCGACGGCGGAGGTGAAAGACGGGGCTAGCAGTGGGGCTTTGAGTAGGGCAACCGGCGACGGCACATTGGGAGGCTAAGAGCTTGAATTTATGCAAGGTAGCCATGGGAGATTGAGGTTGAGATTTGAGAGATTCGTCGATTAATTTCTCCTCAGCGAGACGGAAAATTGGAATCAAAATTTGGAGATTGTGAGAGAGAGATCTGAGATTCTGAATTAGGGATGAGAAGAAGTGGGAAGTGGGAAGTGGGAAGTGGGATGTGGGATGTGAAATGGATCCTTTTACTCTTTGGCGTTACAGAGAGACGACGGCGGCAGCGAATAAAAACATTTATTTTTTATTATTTATTATCTTCTTTGGAGGGTTATACCTAGGCATTGCTTACACGTGTCGACTCCTGGGAACTTGCATTCAGATCCTTCCAAAGTTTGTATTTACGTTTCTACCACAACCCCCATCTCCATCACCAACACTGTACAAATATAATTTTAATTTCATTTTCCTCCTATAACTTTTAAATTTTCTTTGAATGTACAATTGATTTATTAGTTAGAAATAATTTTCTGTTATTATTCCCAATACTTTTTAAAATACAATAATAAATGCGATGCGAGAATGGAAAGAACCAATGTCCACACCTCAAATGGAAAGATAGAAATGGGGCATTAAAGGCAAGAAAGAATTGAAATTGGCATGGACGTGAGTGGTGAGCGGGGATATTGATGGAGTAAATGATGGGCTAAAAATCCACACAGAGAGACTTTCAACCATCCAAATCAACGCAAAAAAAAAAAAAAAAAAAA